GGCCACACATTTCTACAGTCTCGTTCACACGAGGGGCCCAGCGATATCTCTCTCTTTTACGAGAGGTACAAATCCCGTCTTGACTATCTACAATCCAAAACATGATTTGTTTCGTACCTGATACACGCCTTTATAGTCCTCCTGTTACGCAGGACGTTTGACGTAATCAAAGTACCCAACTCCTCATGTTGGATTCCGTAGACATCTCAGGTCTTAGGATCCAATCATGGAACCGTCATATGAGATTCAAGTCATGGCGCTAGTCCATGTGACAATCTCATGCGGGTCAATCCAGTATTCCGTTCTCCAAAGAATACCTATGATTGTGATCGTATCCAAATACCTATGATCATCTATATGATCATCAATCACACATCATACTAGTCTTATTATGTCATCATTCTCATAATGACACAAAGTGTTTATTTCGTCAAATTTAAAAAGTTTAATGTTTATTTAATAAAATAAAAAGTTAAGTGTTTTTTTTTTTTGTCAAAATTGTAAAGTTCAATGTTTTTTTTGGGATTTTCCCTTATTTTTTCCACTTTTTAAAGGGGTGCAACATGAGGACTTCCCATGAGGTCACCCTTATCATTATTTGTTAATTGATTTTGTGTCTTTAATTTCTCTCAATTATCTTCATAATTATTTTCAATCAATATGTAGATTTGTTTTCTCATTTTAATATAAGATTCTTTGACAAACATCTTAATCAAATGCAACAAATGATAAAAAATCCCCTTGTGAAATCACTTTTTGGTGCTTATTTCAACTTTTTATTACCTAAAATCTCATCATCAGCACAATCCTCATAAGAATTTTTTTTTTGCAATTCTTCATATGTTTCAACATTGCACTAATCTATATACCTGATTTGGTTACACATATAATCAATGCACCACAATAGTTGCATATAGTTTTTTGCCTTCGTTAGTTTTCTTGAAATGATTTCATACCTCAAATTTAGGTTTTGGTATCTGGATATCATTACTAGTAGGATCCTCTACTTGGATAGCTATCATTTCAGTTTCAATATTTTGTTCTATTGACATATGAAACAACAAAGATTTAAAACATGAAATTAGAAATTGAAGCAACTTTTAACATGTTATAAACATCTATTCATTAAAACAATACTAAACACACAAAAAAAAATATGTAGAGAAATCTAGAAAAATAGAAATCACAAAATATGTAACGAATCGAGCCTAACCACACAAAACGTGTATTGAATCAAGCGTAAACACACACAAACTGGAAGTAATAAAAAATCTTTAGTGAATCAAGCCTCTAAAATCCTAAGTTGCTAACAACTCAAACTTCAACCATACAGAATCTGCAATGAAATTGAAACCGAAAATTTCTAACACCAAAACCCAAACCAAATGACTAGAAAACAAACTACAACCTTATAGATTAAAATAAAATAATCTAGGGATGAGAAATCAAAATGAAAAATCAAACAGAAAATCTATAAATAAACGTCCTTATATGTGGTAGACTCGATATATGACCAACAAAGGGATAAAGATGAATGTTGGATTGTAATGGCGACGATGATAAGGGGGCGATAAGTAACGGCGATAGGAAGTGATAAATCGAAGAAGACCAAAGATTTTGGAAAAAAAAAGGTGAAGAAGAAAGATATGTAATCATAAAAAAGTAAACAATAAAAAGTAATATTAACCTGAAAGTAAAAATGGCATATTGGTAAATAATGAGAATTATATGTTTGTTGCAAAAATGAATAATAAATAAGGGTATAATGGTTTTTAAAACAGTTATACGGGTATCTGTATATATCCGTTGGCGATATTTTTAATACCCGAATTTAAACTCCTCGTGGATATTTACATATTATTATCCATCCCGAATCTGTTTCTAATTAGATATTCGAAACCCAATATCTCTGGTACCCGAAAATCAGATAATTTTTGCCAACCCTAAAGAAAAGTAATTGTTAGGATTTTTTTTAACAGTTTTAGGGTTGGTGCGTCTTGGGAGGCTAAAAGGATCAGGGAATCTTTGTACCCCAGTTCACATGACATATCTCGGATCCATGAATACAGTATTTATTATATTTATAACGACGAGATATTATTTAAAAGATATTTTAAAATGTTTACCAATTTTCAAGAGAACGAAAGAAAATCTATGAAAACTGATTGTTTATGTGTATATATATACACCGACTGTAGTTTTCTATCGAGCGTTTTGCTATGAGTGAAATTATAATTTCATACTACATGCATATATATATATATATATACACACACATATATACATGTGAAGTAGACTGATAATGGAGGCGTATAACTGCTCTTTTTGTTTCTGTTACATGGTTCAGCCATTTGTTTATTACGAAACCAAAGATTCTTTCAATGTGTTATAGGAGGTGACATAATGCCACGTAGCCTCGTGGACCTTCCCGCCACCAATATGAAAAAGCGACAAGGGCTATGTAGAAATTTCTCATCTTGTTGATTTATTTTAGTTGAATACATTTTTATAATAATACACAATATATAATAATGTAATTATTTTTAATTTTTTTTTCAATTGTGATGCAGTGCGTACGTTAGTTATACTTAACAATACATAAATTGATTATGTATAACTTGTATATTATTATGCCCTTGGCATATTAATAAATATTACGCCATATTTTTATTGATATATTCGTAGGTAGGCCGTTCACTTATTCAAAATATTTTAAAAATTATAATTAGTATATCAATATAGGAAAAACTAGCAAGTGGGGACTTTTTTTCCCAATAAATAAAGGCGAAAGAGGGGGTGGTTGGTTTCACGAGTTACGTTGGCTCGTTCTTGTCTTTTGGCCACAAGACGTTGCGATTCCCTTCCACCTGACCCTCCCTCGCTTTGTCGCCACTCTCCCTTTGTATTTTTTTTTCCTGTTCCATTTTATTTTTTTATATGTTTGGTCGGGTCTTATTTTCTCATTTGAATCACGATATCATTAATTTATGATGCATTGCATGTAAAAATCATGTGATAAGATATATGCTTTGGTTCAACTCCCGGGGTGGTCAATGTTAAATAGATGAATATGGTGTTCTTTGGATTCTATCTATCGCCTTGAATATTGACAAATGTTGCTGAATAATTTTGTTTTATTTTTTATTCCACCAATTCCAAAGATTAATCCTATTAAGAAAAGATATATTAATATGATGCAACTTCGAGTTTTAAATTTATAATTCAGTTCACGTCCGAGCATGGATCATCGTGGGACCGAACACAAAAAATGATTGATAGACCAAAACTCGATTGAGACTAAATCGATGTACAGACAAATATGATGGGTGTGTGAAGTGTGTACGGAGTGATATGAGAATGAGTACCAGATAAAACAAAGTAACACCAATGGATGAAATCTGCGGTTCAGAATTCGTTATCGAGTAAATGGATATTCGCTAAACATATAAGATCTACAAAAATCAGTTTGTATTCGGGGATTTAAAACAACGATACCAAAGAATGCATCTCCCAATGTCAAACACACTATTTGTGATACAACCCGCTTTTCGATACGATCGATCGAACACTAGATGCATGAAGAACTCTATCATGATCCCTAGATCGGTTAATCCATTTTCTAATGCGATTAAACAATTCATATGACGAACTATTTTCGAACTAAAACTCATGTCTCTATGCAATTCAAATTCTAAGATTATTGACCGAGCGGTCAGCAAACATCAATACAATCATGCACAAATTGGCAAACTGAAACAAAAGAAATATCATAGATAAGGAATAGGTCGAAATACATCTAGATACAACGACTCTCTAATTCATAGAAGTGGATCTACTCACGGTTCATGGATAAATACAGAGAAAGACAAAAAACGAAGAGAGAAAGGGAAGAAGAGAAACTCATGTGCGATATCGGTTGCAATCTTTGAGTTTCGACTTTAAATCTTCATTCTTCCTCATTCCGAAACTCGATTCACCTATTCTCTTCGCTTTTCGGCTCCGTAGACGCTCTCTAGCCCTTTAGGGGCATATCCTCTCCTGTGGAGGTGTCTCCCCCTAAAATTGATATCTCTTATAGTTTTTAAATGAATTAAGATGAGTTTTTGAAATACTAGATCGGTTCGGTTTGGTATTAGGGTTTAAAATTGATATCACTTGGGTAAGGATGCGCACAAGATGAGTCCGATGAAGAACGAGGATGAATGTGAGTGGGAGGTGTGTACATTGGGTTGTATAAGTAACATATACAGGGTTTTAGAAGCACGGACGACTGACGAGTACGATGACCACATCCAAGCAAGGTCAGCCAGTATAGACGACTGAAATGATCTTCAAATTAAGTTGGAGTATCATGAGCGGTCTCGAGTCCTGAAGATATCGAGATGATAGGATTTCTGATGCACTATGTTAGAAGTTCGTGAAGAATGAGAGAGACCCTTTTCCCAAAGAATAGAAACTGATTTTCGTAGAACACCGCGTCTCTCGAGTGAAAATCTAATTAGCCTCGATATCACAAGCACATCACACCTTCTTATCTTCTAGACTTTGAATAAAGCAATTATATAACAATGTAACACGAGAGAATTTGTGTACAATAGTAAGAAAATACCTTTCTCCATGTGCAGTCGCAAATAGGATATCACCCATCCATCACCATGAATGAGTGCAAACAAGCTCCTACTTTATTAAAACTATCAAGAGAATACATAGCGATAAACTAGCAAAATCCAAAACATCCGATAAAATGCAAAAAAAAAAAAACACACACACATTGTTTCAAGGATGTCCAAGTCTACCATAAGTTATGCTTACAAAGAATTTTAAAAAATTAAATATACACCGAATTTTATTCGTAGGTTTGGAAATTTTTGTTTGAAAGGTTTTTTTAAATTGACTATTCAAAAATATTTATATATATATATATATTTTTTAATTTGAGAATCGATAACACATTCGTGTATTTATATAAAATTTTTAAGAGTTCTAAATTATGGATTTGATCTCGTCACGATTTCTATTGTATTTAGACTATATACCAAAATATATGAAAGGGTTAAAATCTCTGCGTACAAAAGAAAAGGGCAGGAAAATTAAGAGATGGATAGAATTCATAGCCCCTTGGAGCCAGGAAGGTCGATCCATTGGAGCTGAACCTCGACTTCACCGCACTCGACATGTCGCAATCTGAGAAAGAGATCTTGAACGAGTTTGCCGTCGGACCAAGTGATGTGTGATTCGTCGGCCAGACAGTTGTGTCGGGAGGGGGTGATCCTCGTAATGATGGTTCCGCTCGGCAGGTCTTCTAGTTGCATCCTCAGCGCTTCTACGTACGACTTTATCTCGAACTCTGCATCCCCCATCTTGTCGTCCTTGCTGAATGTGTCATGGTCGTACACCGTCTGATCGATTCAAAGCTCAATATTATGTTTTCATATATATATATACCATATTTGGAGAAAGATATCCCGAAGAGAATGTTCGTCTCTTATGATTTGGGTATTCATGATTCCTGGATATAATCATTGCCGTAAGAGTTTTCGGGGATTTAAACCATCTCGGATTTAATTTGTGAAATCAAATATGATAATGCAACTTATAATATGCCATATTCATATCATATATATATGAGTTTGATATAGAAATTAAAAAAAAAAATACATGGAAGGAGGAGCTTACGAGAAGGACTTCAACCAAAAAACAAAAAGAAAACTTACGAGAAGGACGTTGAGATTGGGATCCGTAACAGAGAGGGTAAGATCTTCATTCCATTCAGGGTTGACATCCTTGTAAACCACTCGGGTCTTTAATTTCTGCATTCAAAACCTACGTACGAATCAATAAACGTGCATGGCCATGCATGCATGCACATGCATATATACATATACATATATATATATATGTATATATATATATATATATATATATATATCACCTGACGCCCCATCTTGACGACGACGTAAGGGTCACTGCTACGGACGTCACGGACGGCGAGATTGACGCCGCGGATAACTCTGATCCTTAAGAGTCCCAACAGGCTATCCATCAGCGACGTTGTCCTCTCCGGACATGTTGGATACTGTCGCTCCGTCTCCGTCATCATTCTTCTTCCTCTTCAGATCAAACTCACAATGAACAATAATATTAATAAGCCATTATTTGTTAATTACGTCACTGAAACTCAACGGAAAAACTCCCCTTTTCCTAATTCCCGTTCCGTTACGTTTTAGAAAAAGAAAGTAACAGGTCCGCCTCTTCGTTTTTTTTTCTTTTGTTCTTTTTTTGACCCATGTTTTAAGGGAGGCACTTATTATCTGGCGTGCGGTAATGTGACCGGGTATTCCGGTTCCCGGTTTTTAAGATGGTAAATTAGTTGTCTTTTTGTAGGAAACAAATGTTGCCCACCAATATTTTTTTTATTACGTTTTTCGGCCCATTCTAGTACCTTTTATTCTAAACTTATATCTTGTCAAGCTATATATCTATTTGGCTATATGAATCACATTAAATTTTATTACACAAATCACCAAATGTTAATTTTTTTGCTAGATATTTTCCATAATAAAATCTGAGTTGGGTAAGTGGATATATCTAAAATTAAAATCCACCGTTTTTTAAAATTTAATTGCTCTACGAAATATTAAAATATAATTAACATTAAAAAAGAGCATTTTGGTGCATAAAATACCTCAATCTGAAGTTATGGTCCGTCGAGGCCCAATGGGCCGCTATATTGCCCCTCAAAGAGAGACGCGGTCTCGCGCGCGCGCGCATATATATATATATATATATATATATATATATATATATATGCTGTACCTCGTGTCCTTTTCCCGCCATTTCCCAGTGGGAGATAT